CGTTGCAGTCCCACGAACTGCTCATAGCAGGCGTTAGCCCATATAAAAATCTTTCCTGTCCTTTTGTAAGAGGTGTGGTAGAACTCAAGAGTTAATTATAAAATGTTTCAACATGCAAATCCCAAGCTCTCCTTTGTTCAGTGCACCCGGACCACAGTGGGGGTAAATAGTCGCTAGCTATTACATTCATTAAAAATTATGCAGCTATTTCTGTTTGAAACACATGATCAATTGGTTGATTGATTTGTTTGTTTCAGGAATATATCTCCTGGATTTAATCTACATTGATTCTGCGTATCCCGCTTCAGGCAGCATTATGGAGAATGAACAAAGATCCAATCAAATGAACAATATTCTCAGAATAATAGCTGATCTGCAAGTCTCCTGTAACTATGGTTGGTAAATTTTGTTACCGCTATTAAGCCTTAACTGAAACTTCTTTAGTACAGCACTTTGAAAGCAGGTTTTGGTCCTGTGTAAAGGCAACACACGAGGCCAGTGTTGGTAGAGTTGGTCACTGGTAAGCGACGTACCTCCCACTTCCGTACAGCTTCAATTAGGTAAATTAGGCAAACAAGCATGTGTTCTAAATTGTAGGAGCTATAACAGAAGTGGTACAGAGTTTACTGCTATGTGTGGACATACTTTCAAGTACAGCTATTGGCTTTGGTTTATAATCTGTTTCCACCAGAAACAAGAGGTGCAGAGAATTATCTTAATATCTTTCCTTTCCTTTGCAGTAATACGACGTCTTTGGAGTGCAGCATGTGTTAACTTTATTATCATTTTATTGTTAGTATCCTGATTATATGTTTACAAAATGAAATACAAATATTTAAATCCATACTTGTTAAATTGTGTGTTAAGCTTTTCCACATACCTCACTTGTTGATGAAGTGAGGAACACGAGGGGGCTGCTTCTTTTCTTTAACAAGATTTTACTCTAAAATTCATTTCTGCAATTCTAGCCTGTTAGTGAACCCTTATGTCAAGAAATGTGCTGATTTTGGGGTCTTGCCGAATACTCGATGTACTGTTGGTGACCTAGCATGACTTTTCTTTGCTTACATGAAACAAGCTGGAAAACCTTGAGAGCAGCTGTACAATTAAATAAATTCAGAACATTTAAATGCTACAGTTTTGCAGAGTTTTGAACAGAAGAAAAATTAAATGTTAGATTGTGAGAAAACGAGGCAAGAAATTACTTGTGTATGCTTAAGTATCCAGCCTTTGTCCTTTGTTGTCAACTTTGGTATTATAAACTATTTAGACTAGACATAATAGTGTATCATTCTGAATAGCTAAATTATTCTACTATCTTGTTCTTATTGTGTGTTTCATTTTCTTTGAATACTTGAAATGACAAAGAAACTTCATTATTTCACTGACTCTTTCCTTTTCACAGTTTTGGTGGCTTCCTGCATTAGTGTGCATTAATTTTGAGTGCTTTTGATAAAAACGGAATTAAAATTAAAATATGGCCTTGAAGTAACAATGTTCTGGAATAATGGGTGCCTTTGAAACAGCTGTCTTTATGAGAGCGTAAAAGTTAAACTAGATACCACACGGCATGTTCCTGTCCATGCACCAAACATCATTCTGAACTTGTCTGTCTTTCTTGGTATTCACCACTGTAATTTATAAGTCTCTCCACTTCACGTTCATATGAGAAGCACTGACAGGCGTGGCTGGAGGCTTTTATTTCCCCCAGAAGAATGAGCACAAAATTCAAGCAGGGTTTGCAGCAAATAACTGTTTTCCACTTGTGAGATAGCATATGATAAAATCCACTAGTTTTCATGATGGTGAAAGGCAGCCGTGTTTTCTTTAACAACTGAGCATCCAGTTTAGGCTGGATATTAGGAAAAATTTCTTCACTGAAAGAGTGGTCAGACATTGGAACAGGCTACCTAGGGAGGTGGTTGAGTCACCATCCCTGGAGGTGTTCAAGAAACGTGTAGATGTGGTGCTTAGGGGAATGGTTTAGTGAGTTAGGTGGTGTTGGGTTGGACTTGATGATCCTTGAGGTCTTTTCCAACCTTAATGATTCTATGATTCTATGATCACTTTTGCTCAATCAAATCTTTAACGTCTTCTTAGAGTCAAAGTAATATTTCTGCCTGATTTATTCTTTAGGAAAGTTCAAATTCTCTGTTTCCATTAAAATAACTAGGAGAACAAAAAAAATCCCTTAAAGAATAATTAATTTTGGATGATGTGAGTGTTCATCTTTTTTTTTTGTTTGAACACTCCACAGATCATCTTACAACACTGCCCCATGTGCAAAAGTATTTGAAGTCTGTCCGTTACATTGAAGAACTTCAGAAATTCGTAGAAGATGACAATTATAAGTAAGTACCATTCTTTTCTTCAGGTTTTGGAGAACTTAATGGAGAGATCACTTGACTATTACTTTGATTAAGAGTTGAACAAAGAGCCATTGGCTGAAGATGTTTTGGAGTCTGTCTGGTGTTCTTAATATTTTATTAATGGAGCTGATAATACCAGGATGCCTGAGTAAAATCCAGAATGACAGTCTTCCTTCATTACTCTAACTAGATTTCCAGAATGAAATATCTTGTAAAAGTTAAAAGCAGATGAAAATCTAGTCTTTATTCTATTACATAATGGTAGTATTCTGGGAATTGTGCTCAGGAACCCTGAAGCTGTCTCCAAGATATCCAGGATTGACTTTATGCTATTGTAAATAATACATTAAAAAATCTTCTAATTTCAAGTTCCTCTTTCTAAGAAGCTGGTTCTTAAGGTATAAACCTGACAATTTTGAGGATTTAAGCACGTTAAAGCAATTCTTACAAAAGAGGTGGAGAAGAACTAACCCACACAGTGGTGTGAAATAGACACCGTAGAGCACATTGGACAGTATGTGAATGTGCTCCAGTTAAAGGAGGTGATAATCCCTGGACGATGATTCTGAAAGAACTAGTACATTAAATCATAGGTCTAGCAGCCAAGGTTTTAAATAACGCAACCGAGGTGGATGCAATGCTATATTACTAGCTATTGACGAATATAGTGCCTCTATTTAGATGAGCAGAATTAAAAGTATTCAAGGCAACCAGATGCTCAGTAATATGATGGTAGTATGAAAGATTTTAGAATATGTTTTGGAGAGCAAGGTTGCTAATGAACTACTTTAAAACCAGCCTTGTTACCTGTTATATTAAATACTCCAGTTAAGAACTTTGTCTCAGAATTTGTGTGTACTTCAACCATCTGCTAATAAAACAGTGTTGGAAGGGTTAATCAAAGCAGAGATGATTTGGATTTCACAAAGGAAGAGTCAGATGGTCTGCTGACTAAAATGGTAGTGACACAAAAATCAAAATGCTGTACATGTAACAATAATTTGTGGTGTTGATCAGTAGATGTCTGTTAGCAGGGAGATACAGGCACGAAAAGACAAATTCATCCCTACCCCCTGTCAGATATCGTGTTTCTATAAAACATTAGATTGTTAATACTGCTTCAAAAGGAGCTGGTGAGACCTTATCTGGAGTGCTGTGTGCTGTTCTGGCCATCCGTGCTTAGAGTGGGTTTAAGAAGATGCTGGTGCAATGAGGTGAATAAACTCTGTCCTGTAATGTCAGACTTGTAAGGGTTGGCTCCAGCCTAGGAGAGGAGGAGTTTAGGTAACAGAATCACTATGTATAAAGAAAATTGGGAGCAAATAGGAAGGGTAAAGGGCAATTTAAACTAGATTGTAGTAGTAGCACAAGAATAAATGAATACAAAACTTTGGAAGGTAAATGTTGAAATGCGGTTCCTAACCATCAGAACCGTCATGGAATTCTGGAACGGGTTCTTAATCGGAGTAGTGAGACACATGATTAAATTATTTCATATTGAAACTTGATCAGGTAATGAAAGGAAGGGTACCAGTGAGTGTTTGTGAAAGGAACAGAGCAGATTCAGTGAATCGGAAGACTGTGTTGCCAGTGCGTGGTCACGTACATATGAGCATGAAGAATGACTTACCCTGCCCGTTCTGCGTTTCTCTGCAGTTGTAGCTGATGTCGCTGGCATACAGATGCAAAACCCTGATGAGACAGTTCAGGGAAAAAAGGTGTCACTGTAGCAGAGACAAAACCCCACGTGTTTGAGCACAGCATGAGTCACGGGGTTTGCCTTTTCTCTTTGATTTTGAACATAGCTGCAGTTGGTGGTAACTCCAGCTGCCTCGAGCTGTTCCGCTCTGCTCTGGGTCAGGCCACTGTGCACACCGCTGCTCCTCAGCCAGATCGCTCCATGTGGATAAATTCTTGTGATCAGCGTGTGTGGAACTTTGCTTTTCCTGAGAGAACAGTTCTAAAAGTAAAACCATTCAGACAATGTATTATTTTGGAACTTCTCCAAGTATTATCAGGACATGCTTCAAATAGAGAGAAAATGTCCAAAATCTGTCCCCTTGCTTAGGGCAAACTTCAGCAAAAGAAGCTGAACGAGCACTGGGTGTTTCACTGCAAGCGATCATACGTGGCTGTGGTTTAACAGGCTTGTGCCTTTGTGTCTGGCTGGTCTCTGATACTGAGAATAGTGATGTTTCTGTAGGAAAATTTGTTGGACAAAAAAAAATGTGTTTGTATGATGTTTTCATAGCAAAATATATCTGCTTCATGGAATTAGAATTCCTGCCAGAGTACTGATGATCGAATGCGTGTGTTCTTCCCTTTCTCAGTCTCATGACATTGTGTGTGTTTCACAAATAGAGATGCACTGTGCAACAGATGCAGGTTGGACATCAGCAGTGCGGACAGCCTTCTGAAAAGGTCAGGCAGTCCGAGACTTGTGTTACGGGTAGTCTGAGGTTTAAATCTCTGTTACAATTTAACAAATGGTCATTATTTACTAACTTCCCACATACTTCCATGCTTCGTTAAAGTAATGAACACAGAGCAAAATTAAACTGAGTAGTAACTGGTAAAGGTGAAGAATTGTAGTCAGTGTAGGTTTTACAGCCCCTGGATTGGATTCAAGAAACTGGTCATGTTGCTTAATTTTATTTTTAGATGGAGTTTCCTGATGATGCATCAATGTTAACATTATATGTACAGTAGCTTGTAGTATCTTAGGAAAAATAGATTAAACAAGTGGTTTATATAACATTATATCTGGAAAAACTACAAGTCATAGTAATTCCAGTTTAAATTTGAAAATCATTTTAACTTCAGCAGCAGCCTTGCTGATCACGCTGAAAGGTATTAGATGTATCTTAAAGATCATTTAGTACTTTTGATCTAGTTAATTGTGAGAATATTTCAGTCAAATTTAGAAGTTTTCTTTCTAGGCTTCACTACAGCAAGAAAAAACTGGACTGAAGTCACAAGAAGTCTTAAAATGGGGGAAGGATTTGATTCATAGCATAGTAAAGTTGCTGCAGTTTATATACACTGGAGAAATGTGACCTTATTCTACCACATTTGTTTCATCAGAATAAAGCTTTAAATTAAAGTCTGTATTCATCAAAACTCATCACAAGTTCCCTTAAAGAGAACTCTCTTTCCTCTTCCATCTTTGTATTTGATGAGAAGTTTTTGGATTTTGTTTTGAATATTTGATTTCACATTTTCCTCTCAGCTTTCCCTAATGGATCTTCAGTTTCATAGCATTTTCTGGTCCCATGCCAGAAGAAACTGTAAACCTTAAAAAGGCAAAGACTGCTGAGTTTATATAATGGGAAAGAATCCCCTCTCTCTTCCTCCTTCCAGTGACCACTCTCTTTGAGTCAGGGACAGCGTTAGTGTGCACTGAAGAGATGTGTGCGTGGCCTTCGACAGGGAGCACAGAGCTGTCTCCGTACCAGGCTGTCGGGGAGAGAAGCTTAGATAGTTGCCCTAAAATGTATTGGCAGCATCTCAGCACGTTTTGCCAAATGAGAACCATAATTGCACTGAAAAGGAAAATTTGGCAGCCGCTTTATATAAACAAGGCTTTTCTCTACAATTTTTTGTGCCAATGCAATTGCTTGCTTTAGGTTCATGCTTGTCATCAAGTAGGAACGCTCCAGAAAACCCCTGAAAATGATGTCATGTCCTAAAAATAATAGATCTTTCTCGCTCAGCCCATGTACTGTTCTCTGCAGAAGCTCAGAAATTATAACATCTGCTGGTTGCAAGACTAAGGGGGCAAAAATAGGACCTAAAGCATCAGGATTCCTTCCAGTTGTACCCCAGATGTGCTGCTAATCACGGGTGTCTCGGCACACCGCTGGCAGCCAGTGGGCTGCAGAGGTACCCAGCTGCGTTGTGTGAGGTGCCTCTTCTCCTGCTGGTCAGGAAGGTTTCTCTCAAAGGAGCTATATGGTGACACCGGCACATTGGGTGTCAAAGCCTGCCCAGACCTCTGGTGGTGTCACACTGAGCTCTGCGGGGCCAAAGGCTCTGGCTCTGGGTGTTTTTTGGGAGACACCGCTGCTGAGCCTGTGTGTGCGCGTGCATGTACCTTGTGCTTCCTGCTGGAAAATGCAGTGTCAGAGGAATTGCAAAAATGCAGTTGGGTGGTGACAAACAAGCCAAGACTGGTTGAAACTGCACTGACTGTCAGTATCTCTTCTTTGAAATAAAAATGGTTTTTATTGTTTCCAGTCTTCTGGGGAAGAGAGGGAAGAGGAGAGATGGTGGCCCAGGAATGACATCTCATTGTCAGAGTATATTCCCTTTTTTCACGGTTCATTTTAAATATTTTGTTAGACATGTCAGTGTGGGTATTTTATATTTACCAGAACTCAATTTTAGGCTCATATTGATTTGTTGTTCTTCTAATACATCCTATATTTTCCTAAGTTGAATAGCTAAATTGCTTTTTTATTATTTTGAAAACATTGCAGTATTTTGGCATTGTTGAAGTCAGTGACCAAACTATCAGAGATTCGGCAAGGGCTAAGATTTCAGAGTGTACTTTAACATAACCAGAGAAACAACATTATCTAACTTTACATTTTCTGAAGAGATGACCCTTGGAGAGTCATGTAATCTCATTTTATAGCACGGAAGACTGACTCGTTGCTCTGTCAGTGAACTTTTAAGTGCCGCACACACCACAGGTGCTTTCTAGACTGTACAGTGATACCATCCCTCTCTCTAAAACCGTGTTGAAAACATGAAGGTGTTGTCTTCCCCTTTTCTTCTTTACAAGAATATTTTTAAACAGAAAGAGAGAAACAGTGTAGTAGAAGTAGTTGCCTGGAAGTTAAAAAGACTTTCACTGGTGTTTGTATACAGCAAAGTGCTGCAGTCTGTAGCTTGAAACCTTCACAACTTCTTTGTGTGTTTAATGCTGTGCAATGACAGCAGTTATTTCTTTTGGTTTTATGCCTATTCCGTTAAAACTTACTTGACATTTTAGTCCTCCATACTTTTTTGTCCAACTGGTTCAGAACAAAGGACCCAAGGTAAGAGTGCATGAACTTGAGAGGAGGCAGGAGCCGTATGCACTGCGAGATCAAGACATGGGTTGGAGTGCTGAGACAAGGCAACAGTGAGTGCACCATAAAACACATGCACTGAGGCAGAGGGCATGTAACATTATGTATATAAAATATATATATTTCTTCTAATTATCTTCTTTTGCTATTAAGTGTTGGTCACTTTACCCACTTACGCTCCTTTTCTATAAGTCATGGTAACTAATCTTTATAGATAGCTACTTCTGAGTGCACATTTCCACATGGTAACAGAAAAAAATTCACTTTTCATGCACAGTGGAAATAAAATGTTTGCTTAGGTTTGTATCTAAATTGACTAACTTTTGGAGATTTTCTTTCAGATGAAAGACTATATGAACTTATATTTTTACACTGATAGGGAGTATAAAATAGCAATTTCCATTTCTGTTTTCATAGTCCTCCCTCACACTTTCTTTCTTGGATCTAACAGGTAGTGATTTACTTTAAAAAATACACTGTTTTGTTATATAACTAATTAAGTAAGTATACTTCCAACAAAGTAAAATTCCTGCTTACCACTGCCAAAATAATTATTTAGTTTCTTTCAACTAAGAGAAAACTTTTTTGTTAATTTCTCTAAAAACTTGTTTTTCCAGATTATCATTAAGAATTGAGCCAGGTAACAGCTCTCCTCGACTGGTATCCTCCAAAGAAGATCTTGCAGGTATAAAACTTAATTTGAAAACTTGAGTAAGGAAATAATTTTAATTGCAGAAGGCAACGGTGCTCATGCGAAGCAACTGCTGCAGCCGCTGCAGCCCTGTTTCCCAGGCTGTGGCTGGACATTGCTTCGTAAGACAAACGCCTTAATAATTAATGTCCCCCTCCACCACCCCTCTGAGCTTTTATTGCTGAGCACCTCATGTGGGACGAATATCTCTTTGGTCAGCTTGGGCCAGCTGTCCTGGCTGTGTCCCCTCCCAACCTCTTGCTCATTTTTTTAATCGTATTGCTGATGTTTAAATGCTTTACGCTAGGGTTTTGATGTTAACGTTTCCTTGGGATGATTGTGGAAGTTCTAACTTCAGTTGTCGCAGCACAGTATGTGATCATCACCAGTACTCTGTAATTCGTAATCAAAGGCTTGGGCTTTATTAGAACTGTAGTGGAAGGCAGGTAAAAATACAGTTCCAAAGTTGGAAATGAGAACTTTGAACTCTCCTGAGCCAGGCAAATAATGTGGCTGTATACTGCAGTGAGCTCAGGCAGGGTACGGTGTTCAGTAGGACCTGCTCGATTGACCAGGGTCACCCGGTGCCTGGCAGTACTGGGAGAGGGTGAGCTCTTCCCTCTGAATCTGAAGTGCCCCTGTATGCTCTGTGAGGCTGCATTATTTCGAGAATTAATATGACAACTAGAAACCACGTCTTGAGTCATTCCTGTTGCTCCGTTCATCTGTTACTGTTTCCTTTGGAAGCTTGACACACTTGTGGACTGCTGTATTTCTAGCTCAGCTGAAGAGCTCTCACTTGGAGTCACTCAGACAATGAATGCCACCAGCATTTTGTAAGACATGACTTTTTCAGTGACCTGCACCTATGTGGCTGCAAAAGTGCTACAAAAGGGAAAACAGTGTACTTTATTGACAAACCAAATCAAGTCCTGGAGAAGGTTAGTGAATTAGGTTAGCATGAATTCAAATTGATATTTAACTAAGTATGAAGGTAACAATTTATTGTTTATTTTACAACATTAATAAATAGAGATATAGCTTTATGTTAGTCTTGAATAATACCAAGCTAAAATGCCCAAATAGCAGTAATGAGACATTTGACCATGGAGAATTAAAAACAGCACATTCAAAGGTATTTGAATCAACTTTATTTGGATTCAAATTATAGTTTCAGATTATTTCCACAAGCTATAATGATAAGAGATGATCTCAAAATAGTTTAGGCAGTAGTTTAATGTTCTAGTCAATAGTTCATGGTATAGAAGTCTGAACCTAGTGATTTTAAGGTAAGATAAAGGTTCTTGGCCCAAAAGGGCAGTCATCAGTTCAGTTCTCCTGATAGTCAAAAAGTTAATGTTACGCTAATAGCAGTGAGTCTGGTTGAGTTCTGCGTGTGACGTGCTGCCTTCCTGCGGGTGGCCGTGTGTTTCCAGTCACAGAGAAGCTCCGTATCGTGGTAATAATTACAAAGTCTGTAAGGGATTGAAGTGCAGGGAATAGTGTCTTCTTCATGTCCTAAAGTATAATTACTTGTGTTGATAATGGAAATTGATTTTCCTTCCCAGTGTTGTGACTTTGTCTTGTACCCAGCTTCAGTTTTCTCTCTTTCGAAAGATTAGCAGTATATTCTAGCCAAGGACATTGTAGACTTCTTTTTTTCCCCTTAAAGTATCTTTATGAGTGTGAGGCTCAATAAAAACAGTTAAATCCTTCAGTATTTCTGTTTGTAAAGTACCGGAGAAAATCATGTGTCTGTTTTCCGCTTTGGTTGCCAACTGGTTTTCCAGTAAATTCAAACAGGAGGCAGACATTGGATTAAAGTGAATGTCTAACAACAAGCTATGCTTGGTATATTAGTGGCTAAGGTGGTCTCATTTAATTGCCAGTTGCATATATAATTGTGAATAGTGCTTTCACAGGAAGATTTCGTGCTTTCCATAACACTGCAGAGATTCTTGTCTCTCGCAAGTAGCGTTCGAAAAGGAGCTTTAAACAGTTTAATTGTGTGCTTTCAGGAACTATGTGATTCACACAGCTTCCTTGGCAGCAGCATAAGTCTGTTCATTCTGTCTTGCCGTGATTTGAGAGAGAGAGAGAATGTAGCTGGAGAGCTTATAGTATGCTAACTGTTCACAGTTTCCAGTTGGATTAGCTGTAAAAGACGTCTGTGTTCCTGCAGTGCTGGCTGGGAGGTGCCCAGCGTTTATGGTACAGCTATTAGACAGATTGTTTTGGAAGGCTAATTCCACATTTTCCCAGAACAAAAGAGAAGATTTAATGTAATAATATGGTAAATGAGTTAGCCTTCTAAGCAACTGAAGTTCCTTAGAATTTGCACACCAAGTGTACCTCAGTATAGAAAACTTTATGCGTGTTCTTTGTCATCTTAATGTTGTTTTGAAACGTTCAGGGTGCAGTGCTAATTGGAATATGGAAAATGGTTACTTGTTCTCTGAAATATACCACGTTATCCTGTCTTGGAAAACAATATTAAAAGGCAAAATAATGTTAAAATAATTACTGTATCCAGAAAATTTTATCTTATACTAAGTGACTGAAAGACTGGTCATCATGATTCTGTGATTTTTAACAAACTCTGGAGTAAGTAGTCTGAAACAGGTGTATTCTCTTTTTTGTTATTGGAGTAAAATTCAGCCCATTGTGGTGAGTCCATTCAGCTTTGAGAGTTGCTAAAGAACTTTCAGCATTTATTTTAATTAATTAGAAGCAGAAGATTTGTTAGATATAAAGTATGTGATATGTAGGAGTTAAAAACGCAGAAAATGTAGAAACAGGAGGAAGACAGACTGGGATGTTTGCACAGTTGTAACCCTCTGGAAGTGGGTATACTACACCACTGACGTCTGTACAGCAGTCCCAGCATTGTAGAATAAAAAACCCCACAGCATCATTTTCTGTGTAAACACTGAGCTGACATTTAGTTTTGCCATTTGTTTTACTGGTTGCTTTGGCAACTAATAAATAGTTTGTGCTAAGTGCTTTAGCAGCCAATCATTCTGTGGAAATGAGGATTGTCTAATCCTCCTGCAAGCACTTGGTTATTGCTTCATGTGCATAGTGTCTGCTTTTCTTACCCTGTATTTAAGGTAGAAATGGAAGAACTGAGTTTTCTTCACAGAAGTTTATAGACTATCCAGAAAACTTTGCTCTTTATTTTCAAACTTATACTCATTTCCAATCTCCTCATCTCTGATACTTTCCCTGCAAGTTTTTACAACTCATTTGAATATTTTTGAAATAAATTAATACCAGACAAATGTGTGGGATTCACATGTTGTTATCAACAACTAAATCCAGATAGAATTAGTGTGCTGTGTTTTTTTTCCTAACAGACCAAAGCTTCACAAAAATTGTAGAATAATATTCTGTCAAAGCAAATATAAAGTTATCAGGGAGAGAATGGTCGTGCTCAGTTTTTAACTTTATCACTTTGTATTACTTTCTGCAGCTGCCTTACCAAAAAGTCTCTTTAATGTCCTAGTTTACTGATGCTTATTCTAACTACCAAGCTGTTACTCTCCAGGAATGTTAAGAACATATAAAACAGCCGAAGGACAAGGGGCTTTTCTGCTCTTTTTTTTTTTTTTTTTTCCCAGTCTCTTTCTTCAGAGCAGTCACCTGAAATAATTTCTGAAAGAAGTTTTTTTTTTGATGGATTGGTTAATGTATTTTGTTGAACCCAAACTTCAGAGTTTCCCTGCAGCAGTGCTCTCACAGTGGGTATGTCTTCACTGCCAATGTGGACATCATCCAAGCTCATGCACTACCCTGCAGATCCAGCTGCAGGAAATTCAACATTTTTGCTGAAGTGTAAGTCAGGATTTTACACATTCCACCGGCGCAGTATAAGTAACACAAATGCTGACAATTAGTGACTCCATAAAAGTAACACCTAAAATTGAAAGTATCGCCTCTATTCAGGAAGCATTTGAAGGAAATACACTGAAGTGTGCTTAACTGCGCCGTCAGAAGTAGCTTAGAAGTGCGGTTGGCTGTGCTTGGTCTTGACAGAGTGGCACAGACAGGGTGCCCCAGGTTTCTGGTGCACTTGTCTGGTTTGCCATTGCTGCTGTCCTTGCTAACTATACTATGATCTTGCCTGTACTGTGATTCCATCTTTCACTACATTATCAACATATTTCTACAGTCCTTCTCTTGGAGATGCTGGACTGAGCACTACTGGGCAAACTCCTCCAGGGTCCATTTTCTGCGTTTTGACATGTCCTATACTCATGTCAACAAACTCCTTTCTGTGTCCAAGTCACTTAATTGGTCCCTTTCTGGCAATTATAGCAAAAAAAAAGTAACCCAGAGCTGAACAGTCCAAGAAGATTGAACTACTTCCACACACACACACACACATACACATTTTTCATAGCAGCCATGGAGACAGGGTGGACGGGGCTGCGCCCGCCTGAGCCACACCTGCCCCGTAAGGGACATCAGTATCCTGAGATAATAACCCAGCACAATTCCCTGTTACACTTAAATTCACGGGAAGAAAAAGTACAGGTTAATATGCTCATGCGATTGAAAGTTCTCTTTTTCATAATTGTTATTGATGGACATCACAAAAGATGGACAAACACGTCAGTGTTTCCTCCCTCGCTGCAAACCATGCATCTATCTATTCCAAGCATTCTTGGCACTGGTAGGTGATAGCATTTAAAAAAAAAAAAAACCAAACCTAAAAAAAACCAAAACAAAAAACCAAAAAAAACCCCACACCTGGGCCAAACTGTTCTTGCTACAGAACCGAGGATATATATATATGAGACAATAAGGGCTATGAAGAAACATCTTTTAATAAATTGCCTAGTAAGTGTATTCTAGAATAGGTTCTGAGAAATAGAACCTGGAAGTAAAGTGAAGCAGAAGAATACCACATACTCCAGGTCTCTCTCAATCTCTCATTCTTTGTTTGCTTGTTTATTTGAGATGGGAGGTTAATTGCACAAAGCAAATCAGTT